AAGCGACAAACATTTATAACTGCATGATCGCAACTATAGTCCACGTCTTGGGAGGACTGCAATAATCTCTAGGTTGATTGCTCTGTTTAGCCTAAAAATGACATGGGAGAAATTCGAGGGTAATGGAATGTGATACTTATTTAGGATGAAATTCAGAGGGACATTTAGGAACAACATCCGTGTTTTCAAAACTGTTGTAAAAACACCCAGTGTTCATCAGTGTTCTAATATTATATTTTCACTAACCATCTGGAAGCACACATGAATAGTTCTGGAATAGAACATCAACTGAGACACGCATGACTACGCAACACATCAGGATAAAAATGAGACCTAGAATACTCATTGATTTGGTATTTTTGTCCACCCACCGATGTTCATGGATGAGAATTTTCGTCCGTACGTATACCCAGGCGTATTTACACATTCGTAGTTATGATAAGAAATTTCTAAAAACAGTATCAAGTGACTCAATACAGCCGCACCCATTTTTCATTATCACCGTTTACCAGGCGGGCAGAATACAACCATATTGATCGACTGATTGGGCGAATAGCTTTGTTCGATGTATTCTATCAAAAACTGCTAACACGGGCACTTAGTCAACAGTTTTATTATTTAAGCCGTGGACTATCTAGATACTTGTGCATAAATTATCCTGTTAGTGTTTCGGTAAAACATCGCTGTCAAAATTCAGGGTTATCTCACAACATTTATCACCACTAGAAAAGCGAGTCATACTGAAATTTAGGAATTATTTTGTGCGTCATTTTAAAAACCGTAAATGTTCCGTCTATGAATGGGAGTTATCAAATGGTGAGTAGAGAAATCAGCCTGAACTGATGACATGACGTTTGAGATCCGAAAATCAACCTGGAATACGCATGAGCTATAAGATGGCCTCCTCAGCTCCGATAATCTAATCACAGAATATCACAAACGTACTCAAAACTTTTAAATAAAATCTTTCGGATTAATACTGGAAGGTAAAAATTACTCAGTGAATAAATACATAAAAACTAAATTAGAGGGAGAAAGAATTATATACATTAAGTTGGTCCTAACCGTCTGCGAACATACCAAATGAACCTGGCTTCAACAAACTCGTAAGCGTTTATTTCACAGCTTCACAAGTGGACGAATAACAAGTCACTAGCTTTGATAGCCTAACTGATTAGTAATTATGCATGTCCAGTTTCAAGCTCCATTTGGAGTTTCATTATGTGCACTTGTGATCAAAACGAACAGATTTTAGACGGCACAAAAACTTATTTTCGGGGTTTTTTCAAGGATTAGGGATACTTTGAATCCGATCAAGTAAATAAATCATGAATATTAAATGATCGCCAGTTTTTAACGACCCTCATCAAAATAATTTTGTACATTGCGAAAGTGATGGTTTGTAGATTGTTGAAACGCGACTCTCAACTTTCGATCTCAAAATAACCTATATCAGTCATTTTTCTAGCGAAATATTACCTCCCTTTTTGTAATATTGCTGTTCGTTGATATGAGTTTTAAAGCCACCAAGTCTTCTAATTTATACTGTGCTATAGTTAACGTTGACATATTGTACATTAGTATTTTCAATAGTTCATTGATAGCCAATTTCGAAAATGTTAAGCTAACCAGACCTTCACGAGTTAAAACTTTTGACATTTTTTTCGAATTGGCAGCTGAGAAAATAAATATAGGTTCTAGCACGGTGATACATGGAGCTGTCTAAATGTTAAATTTATGGGATGGAAAATGTAAAAGATCATGAAATAGTTCATCCAAGCAAAAAAAACTGGGTAAATTACAGATGATGATGAGATAAATAACAAGCATAAAAATTGGTCTGACCGAAGTTGTTGTTCATACCAAGTGAAAATCAATCTAATGTCAGAAGAATAATGTGTTGTGTTCAACGCTCAGACTTTTGAGTTAAATCAATGTAAGCTCCCTTCTGACAAAGTAGTGGTAAAGTGATTTCTCCCTCAAGCCTGGAAGGGCGCATATCTGTGATAGCACTGATGATTTTATACGACTGCGCTACAGCTGGAGAAACCATGGTTAAATCACGATCAATACATGGCATGTGCAAAAAAGAATATTTTTAATTTTCCATTTTGAGCTTGATCGAACTAATTGGAGAAATTACAATCATTATTGGTTCCCCTGTAATCATTATTGAGACCGTGGGTGATCAATCGCTTCCCGACCGCATTGTTTCTTACTTCTGTCTCGCCGTTTCTCAAACTGGTTACACTGCTTCTGCACCGTGCAACGCTACCCCCAGCTAAGTCATATTAAAATACCCCTAATCCGTCCATATAGATGTACGTGCCAGTGGACCGAGAGTAGGGTCACACGCATGCGTAGCTGCGTCACGATCAGCAAAACCGTCAGCTTTGTGATGCTTATCAGTCGAGAGACAACATGGGGAATAATTGAGTTGATTATTCGCAAGTTAGGTTCATTTTGTTCTAATTCCAGTGTAGTTTGGTGAGGAAGCTGGGGCAAAACAGAAACCAGAAGCAATCGGAGCTGAGATGCGGTAAGATAACCATTGGAAACTGAGCGATGGAGTTGAGAAAAGATGCGTGATGAATGAGAAACGATGTGCCAAGAGCAAGAGCAATCCCACACGTGCAAAGAGACAATGCGACAACAATGAGTACCGTGAGTAATACACTTAGTTGTTTTTATTATGGGTGCATCACGGCCCAAAAGTCAACAAAACTGGAAATGGATTTCCGTGAGATCAGCGATTTACACAAAACGAACGCAGTATTAATAAGCCCGAACGAGAATGAAACAGCCATTTCGTGTTTTCTGTTGACCAAGCATTAAAAATATGTTTATTTCTGTTCGTTTGGTACCCCCACAGGAATAATCAGATTAGGCGAGCCACCAGCTGAATGATGTTAAGTAGAGAATAAATAACGTTTAAAAATCTGTGTGAATTTTTGAATTATCTGGTCTGAGGCACTCAACTATGACATTGGTTTTAGCTATTACTGTCCCCTTTCCAGGTTGGAGTCCTCAGGAAGAGGACTATTGTAGTGTTCATCTGAAAATGAACCCTGAACATCATCCACGACAGTGTCCAGAAATCTGGAGACCTGAAAGCAGCTCCGAGCCCAGAAACATTTCACAAGGCGCCTGGCTCAGACAAGCTACCAACGGCAGTCTTCAATATGTTAGAGAAGTGCTTGTAAGAGAGCTGATCAGGCTAATTTCGCAGATCTGAGGGGATGAAACCAAATGGGGAAATTTGAGTGTAACAATTAATTTAATAAGCACTACCGCAAGTTCTGTTTCGGTTATAAGCGCACAAGTTTGAGTTGAGTAGCGCAGAAGCTATCAGCGTCCGTTTGATCAGACAGATTGATTCTGATCCGTGTGGGACAAATCCGTGAAGAACAAACACGGTTTCGTGCTTGCAGTGGATGCATAGACCAAAATTTGTCCTTTATCAGCTGCTNAGAGCACCGCCACACTAATAGGAGACAAACTACTGCCGTGTTCTTTAAATCAGAATGTCCTTTGACTCCATCGATAGTTATTCTCAGTGGAACTGCTTACTGAGATAAGCAGTACTTGAGAATTACGTTCTGAATCTGAGGAGGGTTGGGGCCTGGGTTGATCTTTCACCCTCATTTCTAGTCATCCGTACAGTAAGACAGGGTTGCCCTGTATCATAGTTTTTTATCAACTTTGCCATAGATGATTTACTAAAAAAAGTCTTAATTAACGTACCAAAAGCTTGAACAGAGCTTCTTTCTGTATACAGAGCCACAGACATAGCATATGACACAGCATTATTTAGTTACCACGTACCAGCGATCTCAAAGTCCCCTTCTATCGTCCTTTATTTGCAGACATGAGGCCAGGCTGCAAGAAATGACAATGAAGGCAAGCTATGGCGTAGAGTTGAGGGTTGAGAAAGTTGTGTCCGATCTAGCTTCCACCAGGGCTTCCTAGCTTCCAGACTGGGATCGTAAGCTTTCAGACAGTCGTTAACTAAATAACCTGCGGGATATGACGCTAAACCGTGGCAAGTGGCGTAAATGCACCTACTCGAGCTTGCAATCCGAAAAACAAGAAGGCATAAATCTGCCTCCAGTAAAACAACAGAAATTGTAGTAATCTCCTACCCATTATTTTCTTTGAAACTATGGTTGAGTTGCACCGTATCCGTAGAAATTCGTGCTACATATATATCGCTGGAAGGAAATGTACTTGAACCCCTCCGCCACGGCCCAACTATTCCGCTCTGTGCCTTCATGATGCCGACTCACCTCTTTCCTGAACGTTATACCTCTGCGTATCCAATCAGAGGAAGAAAAAGGATAAATGTTATTATATATATATATAATATAATATTATATATATATATACAGATGTTGATCAAATTCGTGCAGCATCACTCTCATTTTGGAAATACATTTCAATCTCCAATGTCATATTGATGGCTATGGGTAAAGTGCATAAATTACTGATTTTATCTCCCACTCTTATGTTCTTAGATCTCTTCTATCACTGCTTGAATCTGCGCGACCTTGAGTGTTGCAATAAAATTTTTAATAGTTCAACAGTTACTGTTCACATTTGGAAAATAATTAAATCGAAGCAACACGGAATTTCATTCTTTTTAATAAATTATTCCTGTTCCATGACAGTGTTTATTACGTTGAGCCCATGTATTCTAAATTGCTTGTCCCCTTTCATTTAGTGCACTTACAAGTTGATCTTCAAAAGTGCACCTTGAAGTGTGTAACTCGTCGAGTAAGCGTTTTGTTTTGTCACCATACCTAAACCGGATGAAACAGTAGAATGATTTTGGCATATATTTGAAGGCTCGAGGACACCAATCGAGAGGCACATACATCCGAAGACTCAGATCCTGACACGAGTAAGCGCTTTGACGTGAACGCACGCCCAATTTTTTGCTCAATCAACGGAATTTCTCCATCAAGACATAAACCGAGAGCGAGAAAACTGATCATATTGTAATGGAAGGTGGTACAAAGAGAGCCCCGTCTAGCGAACGAATCAAGGATATGGCCGATTCAACCAGGTGCGCAGATGTAGCGGCTGGAAGTACTTCGCGAGACAATGTCGACTGCCACTCGAAACGAACGAATCGACAATTACAGCCCAACGGACAATCCGCATCTAGCCAAAAAGAAATCCACCGAACACCACAACTGTGGTGTCCGACATTAACGTCGGAGCTGTCGATCAACGTATCTCGCGCTATGATCGGTCAAACCAGTCAGTACGGCACACGGAAGAAGGGGAAACGTACGGGCCATGTGTGAACCAAAACCAACAGGAATGGTTCAACAGAATGACGTAGTGCGGTTCAGAACAGATTGTATGTATTCGAACGCATACACCGGTTGTTTTTGAATTGGATCGATAAACGCTTTGCCAGCAGACTCGCCTTCTCGTTACAATATCAAAGCGAAACGATGGTTGTATTGTATCGCAGCAGAGAAGAGTTGCGCAACAGCAAACCGTAGGATAGTCCGGGCTGATTAACCGTTTTTTCCTCGCGCTTTCGTTTGGAAAATGATGGTTCAATTTAAAGTGCAGCTGAGGTCACGAAATGTAAAGCCGTTATTAAACGCCCAACATAGCAGAGAACATATTGATTTTACCAACAGATTTAAATATCGTCGCCCAGCCGTTTGGCAATGGGTTTATCTCACTGATGCCCAGCGAGTAATTCAGCACTGAGCTAGTTTTTTTAATGAACTTCGTTTTATCTGTCGAAAGAAGTAAATATTCTTCCCGCCTGACGAGTTGGGACGGAAGTAAATACTGAGTGCCTTGTTATTGGTCTCCTGTACACACCAATCTGGATATCGTAAACTGTTTTGCACTGATAAGGAAAGTTTTCGGTAACTGCTACTCGTCAAATACATTCGCTGAAATCATATATTTCTCGATGAAGTTGAGTATATCTTCTCGCTTGAAATTGGTGGTAAAAACCAGTTAGACCTAATTAAATATTAGTTTTTCACATTTATGCGGTCTTTGGGGGGTTCAATTCTAATGTCAAATTCTTTCAATTACCGCGCAGCACTTGGGATTTTAGTCTAATCGAAAACTTTTTCTTACTTCACAAACAGAGGAAAGTGATCTGCCTCGACATTGATCGTCAATGGTTACAGGAACCTGGCAAATTCTGTTTAACTCTCAACTTGGTGGACTTCTTGCCAAAGCGACTGCCTTTGGTGCTCAAAAATTGAAGAGCAAATGGAACATAAATGAGATGAAAGTATAATACCTGTATAAATTCTATGAGTCATTTTATTTAAATAAATTCTAGTTACGTTTTCCACTGTGACTTTGTTATTTTGAAACTGGTACACCTGCAACCGTCGTCGTCGTCACTGGTATGTGGCTAATAGAAGCAAAGATATAAGGGGTTATTATATCAGATATGTTGCGTCTGATGTGGGGTAATAGCATATTAAACCCCGTGAATGAGGCAGAAAAAACGAAGCGCTTACGGGAAAAAATGTGATAAAAATCAGGAAGTCGCACAATTTGGGTCAATATATATATATATATATATATATATATATCTTCAAGGCTCAGTGTGGATGTTAGGGGATCCAACAGGGTGCAATTTCATTACTGCACTTTCGTGCCCCGTGGTGAATATATGTCGTACATAAATCACAGTACTGTTTCGGTAAAACACAATTGGGATATGATAACGCACCTGCAAGTGATGTCATGCTTAACAATTTTCAAACCTTTTCAAGGCTCTAAAGTAGGACTCATAACTAACCAGAAGTGCAAAAAATCACCTAAATCTAATCAAATTAGAGTCCATTTAATTGGGACAATACACGTGTATAATGATGATCCCACAAAAAATAAAACAGATTCCCTACAGGCCTCTAATTCTCGCATTCCCGAAATGTACTGTGAAGTTAAATACGGTTATTTAAAGTCAATGGAAGTGGATGCACTCTGGGTGTGAGGTTTCCCCAAAGCCCACAATGTCGGTGTTCGACTCAGATCAACATCTTGTGTGCGCAGAACTCACCACTTAGACAAGCTGGTTGACGTATACATATTTGGTTGATTGCCGTTGATACATTCGAAAAGCATGGAACGGTGAACAAGCTCTTGCTAATATATTTTTACGAATAGGTAAAAAACCTATGGAATCTGCACAATGCTCGATGTGCTTGAAGATTCTGCTGGCGGATCTAATTGGTACATTGTGTGTGGCTTACAAACTAAATCAATGTTTGATGGGTGGGAATAGGGATAGGACAAATGAGGGATCGGACCGAGTCAGGGTGTCAATCGAAAAGGTCACACCGTGGCTATGGCACTTAAGGCGCTTTACCAAATCGCTTTTGGTTAGAAAGCGATGGATTGAATAAACGGATGGCTACTGCCTGAGCTGTTGCAAAATTTTGTTGACAAACAGTCTTTGATGTGTAAAGTGGAACCCCGTAGATCACCTTAAAGTTCACAGGATGTCCCGTATCTGCGAGGTGTTCCACGAGAGCACTGGAGGTGGTTTATATGTCCACGGCAGCCAACCAGGCTGGTTTGTATTCCTCGATCCTCTACAAAATATAATGATGGTTCTACTATTGTAGCTTGCCAAACATGGGCAAAAAATGAGTAAATAGTAATAGATAAGGTAGCGATAGGCAATTAACCTTTTTTTTCAAGAAATAGTCGGTCGATTGGTGAATTGCAGGCGTAAACGGGTAACATCCTCGAGGTCTTCAATTCCGTCGACAGGGCCACACTACGGAACTGCTTGTTGAGGGATGAAGCACCACAGAAGTATGTGTCGATTCCGAAAGAGTTGTATCATCATACCTCTGGTCGGGTTAGGACCTATGGTCAGCTTTCGCCACCCTTCGCCGCCTCCAGTCGAGTTCGACAAGGCTCCCTATATCCCCATTCTTTTTCGAATTTGTCATACAGCATGTTCTTCAGAATGCTTTGAATAGTTTGGCAAACGGTGAAATGAAAATCCTCCCAAGAAACAGAGTTCTTACAATAGAATATGCAACTGATCTTGCCTTACAGAGTGACAAAACACAGACAGTTCATCATATATATATATATATATACTGTATTCTCTCAGATATAAAGGTCATGTAAATCATGGCAATGAGTCTTTCTACGCGTGAGTGAAAGTAAATCCAACAAGGATGTCTTTATTCGTACGGTGTCCACGTAGTTCAGCAACTTATCAATGTAAGACATATGTTTTCCTTTTTATTTTTATTTCACACAAAATCACAGTTGTCACTTGTCGATTCCTCTACATTTGGTCATGATAAATAACAAATTCATCATATGAGAACAATGGAGGATTTGATTTAATGATGAATTAGTTGTGTGAATAACGAGTGAGCGAAAAAGCTGCGAGACTCTGGACACCTGTTTCGACCTGTTAGGGTCTCATCAGCAGTGCGAATCCATCGATTCAACTGGGGATTAAACCCGGGGCCTTACAAGTAAAAAGCAAGCAAACTACCTATTCGGCTAGTGCTGACATGAGTGAGGTTCGTTTCCCGCAAGTAGCTCTCTAAGATGGGTTGTGCTATATCGTGTATATTCCAAATGAGGAACGTTCTAATCGACTGCTCGGTGGCCGAGTAGGTAGAATACGTACGTCCTACCTGTGAGGTCCCGGATTCGATCCCCAGTTGGGTTGATGGATTCGCACTGCTGCTGAACCCAGCCAGGTCGAAACACCTGTCCAATGCTTCCCAGCTTTTCAGCTCACACCTCATTTACAAAACGAATTATTCATCAAAAAACATTTATCATCGAATAAAAAACGCAATTTAGCGAAAAAACTTTTTCCGGTAACTCATCAACTTTATATCACATCATTTTTTAAAGAAAAGAGGAAAAAAACTAATGATTATTCAAGTGGGGATGGTTGTTAGTTTTCTGTCCCAATTTCACCAAACCGGATATGGCTGATCCTGCCATCGGAACTTAAGCTTGGTCCGTGTTAATTGTGTGATTTGGGGTGAGGTTGAGAGGGAAGTAGGAG